GGGGGGGGGTCTGAATGTGTGATAGCTATAGTTTGCTTGTCACCTGAATGTATCGCCTAGCCTGTCGACGAAGTACACGTAGTAGTCTTTGTCAACTCTCATCAAGTCGCCCGTGTTGAAGTACGCGTCACCTTCCTTGAAGACATTCCGTAGGATCTTTTTTTCGGACACCTCCTTCTTCCCCTTGTAGCCATAGAAGGGCCGTTCTGATGTGATGGGTGCAATAAGTAAGCCTGGCTCGCCTGGATGAAAACAATAGTGTATTTTTTAAGTTAAAGGGACGATAGGGAGAAACGCATGCATGTTGTACGGAAAACGTGCGAAAAGTATCACGGTGAAAGAACGTATCTCGCCTGCGCGAAACCCTTAATGTATTGTGCATGGCACTTCGGCAGAACGTCTCATATAAGGTCGGATTCGCGTATTTTACTTATTTATTTTATTCTATTCACATGGATTTTTGAGCATTGGATAGGGACTTGTTGTGCTTGTTGTGCTTATGTGAATCCGCTGCTCATAAAACATAATACAAAAGTAAACATAAAGATGACATAAAGTATAACATAAACATAAAATGAAAGTGGCTGGCGCACCAATACCTATAGCACAGACATTAATGAGATTGGTCAAATCTTCCAGAGTGGTGGATATAGTTGAACGTATATAAGGTTAAAACATTTTATGATTCGCGTTTATAAGGTTAGCATCCCGTCTGTAGTTTCTAAATGTTATCTCGGAACATATATATCTTCTGCAACAGGCAAACTTCTGATGCAACGTCGACCAAAATCCTGTGCTGCAAAGAGTCAGGCTGACTGTTGCTCTGATGACGTCTTCTTAAACTCATGCAAATGTGGGAATTACTATACTACCCAGCCAACATGTTTACATAATGTCATTATGGAAAACTTTGTGTGTACTATGTGCGTATGTTTGCGCGATAAGGAGCTATCATTTTGACTAGTGTATATTTTCCAAGACCGGGATTCACCGATGTTCGCAAATTTCAAAAACTCAAAACTTACCCACCACAGTTTTGCACGCATTTCCTTAACAGTAAGATAGTAAAATGAAGAAATTGACAGTAATGTTCAGTATCATGAAATAAAGTTTTTGTTAAGATAAGGTGATTCTATTTTAATAGCGAGGATGTAGAGTTAGTAGTTCTGTATCTATATCAGTATCAGTATAGCCGGTATAACTGCCCTTCTGCGTAACACACCAGCTTCGCAGGCACGCGGCGCGGCGGCAGCTAGCTATATCACACCGAACGACTTGTTACACTCAATCTTTGCACATTTGATTGCAGGAGTTGTTTAAAGCTTTCTAGTGATGATGCCCCAACTGTGCTTGGTGGCAACGAGTTCCAGTCTACGA